TGGGGTCCCCATAATGTACTGGATACCAGTACACACACACACACACACTCTCTCTCTCTCTCTCATACACACACACACACAAACATTTGGATGTTCGTTTATATGTTTATATGAAATGTGAGAAATGTTTATACATTAGGTGTTATTTGTAATTAGTAGTCGTTTTTATTTATTAGTTTATTTTTTTATGTTTGTGATTAGTTGGAACCAGTTGTGATTGATCCTTTTTTTTTTTTTTAGTTATTTTATTAGTTTTAGATTGTATAATAGACACCAAACAAAACAACAACAACAACAACAAAAAATACATAAAATAATGATAAAAAAAATAATAGTAATAAAAGAAAGAAAAACAGGGCATATAAGCAGTTTCAGTAGAAAAACAAAGAAGCACTCAATAGGGGGCAGACAACATACTAAGCACTACATTGCTGGTCGGAGTCAACATTACATTATTCCAAATGATCTAGAAATGGTTGCCATATACTTTAAAACGTATCAAGATTATCCATAACTCCATTCTCCGGCGCCTTTCCATGTGCAAAATTACAGTAAGATATGTCAACCAGGTCTTAAACTGAGGAACATTGTCTGATTTCCACAGCCTTAGAATGATACTCTTAGCAATAATCATTCCATAAATGATGGTACCTTGTACAGACACATTATAATCTAAGAGAAACAGAATACCCAAATAATGCAATTTCTGGATCATGTGTAAAAACACAACCATGCATGTCAGAGAACCACTTAAATATGTCACACCAAAAATCGTAAAGTTTTGGACATGTGCAAATGATAGAGAGCCTTCTGCAGATTTACACCGGTCACAAATAGGAGAGATAGTAGGAAAAATTCTGTGCAATTTAGATTTTGAATAGTGCAGTCTACACTCTTAAAAATGCTGGGTTGTTTCAACCCAACTTTGGGTCAACTATGGACTAACCCTAATGGACTAATATGGTTAGTCCATATTTGACCCAAAATTGGATTGAAACAACCCAGCATTTTTAAGAGTGTATGCATCACCTTAAACTGAATTAACTGATGCCTAGAATTAATAGAGCAAGATCGAATCCTGCTGAGGCTCTCCATCAGCCTCAATCTGTATGCCCAGTTCCTCTTCCCAAGCATTTTACAAAAAATTAGTAGAATAACTCACTTCTTGAGAAAATGCATTTACAAAATCTGAAACCAAATGTTTGGAATCAGGTGAGCCCAACAATAGCCTATAAATCCTTCTTTCCTCCGGCAAAGATTCAAAATTGTCTATTGCATGACGTACATAATTTCTAATCTGTAAATGTCGAAAGAAGTGTGTTGTGGGGAGAGAAAACTTCTCTTTTAGCTGAGAAAATGAGGCAAAATGTTTAGTAGCCCCTCACTGCAGAACACAAGATCCAGGAGGCGTGGTTGAATCCACATCTAGGGGGTGGAGATTGGTAGGTTTAGGGATCAGGGGGTGGAGACAGGTAGGTTTAGGTATATGTAAGGTGGGAGGAGATGGATCTGAAGTTGGGGGGGGTGTATCAGTCGAGATTTCCACTTTATAATCCTCCTGCCAATAAACAAGGGCCCTGGTATTCGCTGCGCAATAATAATGTAAGAAACATGGTAGCATATTTTATGATAGATGTATTATCAGGGACCCCGAGCTCCTAAATATTTTTTTCCATCCAAAATAAAAATTAATGCCATATAGGGATATTGTCTTTTGTATTGTATACTGTTTTATGCATGCTTATGATAGAATCCTTAGATAATATAACCTCACCTGTAGCATGTTTGCTATCTACAAATTTGTATTTTGATTATCTAAATGAGAGGATATACTATATGTACAACATATTAGTGTTCTAAGAATCTGTAATAGTTTTTGCATCTGCATCCAATCCAGTTACATATGCAAAATACCATGCTCGAAGACAAAGAATCGTAAAATAGTCCGTCCGAAAGTATGTCACAATTGGCTCTTTGACCTCCCAGAGGTGTGACCTCCATAGAAGTTAAGAGGCCTCACATTAGTGACCCGCCTAGCTTTGGTCTGTCTCTTCTCTCATCACCTCCCCACTTCTGGTTCCTGGGCTGGCCTCAACTACAGCCATGTCTTCACTCTTCACTTGGGAGAAAATTCACCCAATCACCACCGAGTCAGAATAACATCTTTGGAGAATAACATCACTTTTCAAACCCAGATGAACGTGATCACAATTCCAGCACCACCCAAACCTTCAAACCATCAAGACTTTCATCCGAGACTGCATCCAGACACTCATTCAACAGCCAAGGCAATGCAAGTATCGTATATTTAACTAAACGAAACAGAGGTTTAGTACAAGCTGTAGACCCCCGTTGTAAAACGATGCTGATGGTTTCACTCAGGTGGTTAACCGACTCATTTTCCATAGCTGCATTCTCTGTTTTCTCTAATGGTTTCATTCATCCACTTGAACTCCCCTTTGTATGTAGGTTGAGTGTATGTTTGTTCGTTTAGACTAGTTGTGTTAGCGTTTAGTTTAGTTAACTTTTGTGCACAAATTACACAAGTTATTTCTGTTGTTTCTGATTCTGTCACTGCTTGTAAATCAATGTCCCTTTAATGATTCCTGATCTTGTTTACATGCTCTAATACAGTGAATCTCAGCCTTTTGGTGTACCGGACCCCAGTCCAATTCAGAACCATCCTCAAGGACCCCAGAACAAAATTGACTCATCTATGTATCATTTGTGTCTTTGTGAGGACCAAATGCAGTCAAGTATTATTCAAGTTAGTTGACTTGTCCAGTATTTTGGCCATTTTGCTTTCATGGGAACATGTCATGTCAAAATATACAAAATGTATACAAAGATTCATACTTTATACCCTGGCCTTACGTCAAGGACCACTAGGGGTCCACGGACCCCTGGTTGAGAAACACTGCTCTAATACATTAGTACTGTAAGAAAGTTATTTTCTGTGGCCACGTCTTTATAGAAGTTCAACACGAAACTGAAACTTCAAAGGCCTGATTCTGCTCAGACTCAGAGCTGCTGAATCAAGCTATATTGGATTTAAGTATGAACATGTTAACAAACAATTTTGGCATTTAAATGTAATGATTGATTTTAATGTAATAAATTTAGCTGTAACGTTTGAATGTAAAGGCTAGTAAGCAACAAGAGTATGTGGTTTTAAGACAACACAACATTATGTCACAATACTGGCATACTATCTTGCTACACACTCTTGTAGGTACTTTCCTTATAACCAACGAAATACCCATTCTATTCTGTAGTTATTAGTACGGAAACCACAATTTGCAAATCAGCCAAGACTATACTAAATAGATTTTTGAACGTTTTTTAAAGAGATATAAACACATTTTTACACCTTTCTGGTCCATTTTGAAGAGGGTATAAACTGAGGACAGGAAGAGCTAAATAAACTTATCACTGCATCTAAACCAACAACATGCCTGTTAGATCCTGTACCCACTAAATTACTGAAAGAGTTGTTACCTGTAGCAGAAGAACCGCTTCTCAATATTATTAACTCGTCGTTGTCTTTAGGTCACGTCCCAAAACATTCAAGCTGGCGGTTATTAAGCCTCTTATTAAGAAACCACAACTAGATCCTAGTGAACTGGCTAATTACAGACCCATCTTAAATCTTCCTTTTCTGTCTAAAATTTTAGAAAAAGTTGTCTGCTCAATTGTGCTCCTTCCTGCAAAAAAATTATCTCTATGAAGAATTTCAGTCAGGTTTCAGGCCCCACCATAGCACAGAAACTGCACTTGTTAACATTACAAATGACTTGCTTCTTGCGTCAGACCAAGGCTGTGTCTCATTGCTAGTTTTACTTGATCTTAGTGCTGAGTTCGACACTATAGATCATGACATACTCATAGATCGATTACAAAACTACATAGGTATTCAAGAGCAGGCTTGGCTAGAGTCCTTGCCAGGTCAAGAAAATATGATCATATTACCCCAATTTTACAGTCTCTGCACTGGCTACCTATTAAGTTCCGTATCAGTTACAAAATATTATTACTTGCCTATAAGGCCCTTAATGGGTTAGCTCCTGCGTACCTACACGCTACAATCCATCACGCTCCCTAAGATCACAAAACTCTGGACTTTTGGTAGTACCTAGGATAGCAAAGGAGCCCCAGATACAGATCCCCTGTAAAGACCATGTCTCAGACGGCCACCGGGACAAGACCACAGGAAACAGATGAGTCCTCTGCACAATGTGACATTGCTGCAGCCTTGAATTGAACTGCTGGTTCGTCTGGTCAGAGGAGAACTGGCCCCCCGACTGAGCCTGGTTTCTCCCAAGGTTTTTTCTCCATTCTGTCACCGATGGGAGTTTTGGTTCTTTGCCGCTGTCGCCTCTGGCTTGCTTAGTTGGAGACGCTTCATTTCCAGTGATATCGTTGACTTGATTGCAAATGATTGCAAAGATACTATTTAAACTGAACTGGATGATGACATCACTGAATTGAATGATGAACTGTCTTTAACTGAAAAACGAGTGTTTACGATTGTCATTGTGCATTATTGACACAATTTTCTTAATTAATGCTGTTCAGTTGCTTTGACACAATCTGTATTGTCAAAAGCGCTATATAAATAAAGGTGACTTGACTTGGTTTTAGTTGAGAAATATTATGTTATGACTGTTTTATAAGCTTACGTTACACCGGGTCCAAATGGCCCCGGGAACGTGATGAAAACTCTTATGGTCTAAAACACCCCTGAACATCCAGTATATTCAGATTGTCTGTTCTGGGATCACTTCAAACAGCATTGAGGTGAGAACACAAAATTATTAATGCTTTAAACGCAACGTATCATGCATACGATACAATGACGAGATTGAAAAATTTAAGTCTCTGAGCCGCATCAGTTTCTTTCAAGTATGTAAACCAGAGACTAACATTAAGAGTCTGACCTGCACCAGTGTTTAAAAGCCTATAGCATTTGATAAAAAAAACGAATCATTGAAGAGACCCTCTTTCAGTTTATGGTGGTAATGTTTTATGTAAAGTAAACTGGAACAGCACTGACAATCTGTTGATTGTCATAAGATCTTCACACAGACTGGTCAACATTCACTTTATTAGAGACAATAATGTGGATAGAAAAAAAGTGGCAGTCTGTACAACTCTCTCAATGTGCCACATCAGCTGTTAGAAATGACTTCTGATGCTTCGCCTTTTGCTTCCTTTGCTGCTGCTTTTCTTTTTTTCCTGAAAATTGACAGTAAAAATGTGAAGTCATGTCATACACTAAACTGAGATCAGAAACTGCCATTATAATTAAGTCAATTAAATATTGTAATACAAAACTGTTAAAGAATTTTAAATTATAGGTATTAAAACTATAAATTAATTAGCAATGAAAAGCTGGAAACAATGAGATTCTGGTCCTGTTCTTTAAATTCTGTGAAGCTAAAACAAATTGTCCAGCCATCTACACACTGGGATCCAGAACAAACCTTTTTCTCTTGCCGGGCTTCTTCTCAAAAAGAATGCGCGGAGTCGTCCGAATGGTTGACCGTCTGGGTGGTTTTGTTACAAGCTGGCGTTTCAATTTGCTGTAGGGAGGAAAAATTAGAGGTCTTACATTGCGACATTTGATGGCAACACTAGTCTCCAGAAAGCATTTTAAACATGATAGACTTTTTCTCCAAACTACAGTTATGAACAAGCAACTAGACTGATTAAACACCACTTATATAATATAACCGAGTAACCTCACCTTTTGATTTTCTTTAACCCGATCATGTAATCAGGGACAGGACATCCAGCCTTCTTTATGACGGTAGCAATGCTGATCCATAACAAAAAGTAAGCAAGTAGAAGCTCATACAATTTACTGTATGCAGTTACTTCCTGGTTTTAAATAAGCCAGCTCAGTCATTTCCGGTCAAGTGTCAAAATTAACTGTGCTTTAGGGAAGCGCCCTTTGCTCGGTTACTCTACAGAATCCATTCACAATTTAAAGAAAAGTTTTGTTTGTCTAAGAGGACCAAACGTCCACATATACAGTTTCAGGAATCCGCTAAATTGTGCCGTGAGTCATTGCTATGATTGACAGTGATAAAGCAACAGACGGAACAAAACATCTGACGAGCCAATGTCAAAAACAGAGCTGTGCATTAAAGGGGTCATTGGATGCCCATTTTCCACAAGTTGATATGATTCTTTAGGGTCTTAATGAATAGTCTGTAACATAGTTTGGTTAAAATTTCTCAATGGTAGTGTAAAAAACACCTTTTTTACCCTGTCAAAAACAGCTCTTTTCAGAGCAAACCGTTTTGTAGCATTTCCCTTTAAATGTTAATAAACTCTGCTGACCCCGCCCCTCTCTTCTGAGCCGCTCTCTGAGGGACCGTTTACTTTAGCCGCATTCATCGTGAAACTTGCTAATTAGCACATTATTAGGAAAGGCGATTTGCAAAGATTCATTACAAAAACCTTATACTCACTTCTTCTGTAGGTGAAGCTGGATCACGAATGATTTGCGTGAATATAAACGCATTTAGGTAGATCGGGGGCGCATTCCCTTCAAAAACAAACGTAATCCACTGCGTCTTCAGCGGCTCAGATGTCGGGAGTAAATGACGACTGCTATGTTCCTTATTACATCCAACAACAGAACACCTCAATCGCTTAGGAGTCATTCTTGTCTACATCTGCTCCAGAGGTGAAACAATGGCGGACTGATGACAGCTCACGCAGGGCGGAGCTAAGGTAAGACACTAGTCCAGTCTGTGCTGAAACGCTACTGTCAATCAAACTACCCTGGGAGGGGCCTGTTTTTGTGACATCACACAGACAGGCATCTGAGATCGGCTCGATTTGAGAAAGGGGAAAAGATTTTAGTAGATTCCACTGGGTGGATCTTTATCATTATAGGGTGGTTGTGTACACACACTGCCAACACACATTTCAGTTCAAACAACTTGTAAAAGTGCATGTAGCAGCCTATGACCCCTTTAAATGATTCAGACACAATTTAGAGTAACAAAACTACTGCATTTAGCAGCTTCTACAGTAAAGATAAAACTTAAAAATGTAGTTTATAAATTAAATCTAAAAATATTTAATGGATTATTTTTTAATTGTTATACCATTAATAATTAACTTATTTAATTTGTAGTTAATTAGTTAAGTATTTAAATAATTTACCCTTCTAGGCTGTTGGTGTCTGGGCTTAATTATTTATTTATTTTTTAAATGACGTGAGACTTTGTGTCTTTGTGACTGTGAATAATAAAAGGCTTTCAAATATTACAAGTGTTTTAAAAAGGTGTTCAGGACTATGAAGGTAAGTTATGGATTATCAAGAATACCATTATGATGTCGCGTCGCTAGCAAGCTTACGTTAGCCTAAACAGTTACGATAGTGCTTGGCAGGCTCGGCATTTAAATAACATGAAACTGTATGTTAATGCCGCTATCATTATTTACGGTGTTGCAATTATTTTTTTCGCACTTTCTGACAAGAACGAGGCAGGAGAGGTTTCTATGAGGGTCTCAAGAGTCTCTACATATATATACCACAACATCAAATGACGCTTCGCCGGAAGTTTATGAGCTGGCTTATCTTAATGCGCAAGTTCTAAAGAACGCTCCGAGCATATGGTCAATTATATGTCACAAGGCCAGAAAATGATCTCCCTTAAATATCAATGCAATTATGACTAGTTGTAAAGTGCTGTTATTACCTGCGAAGGAGAGGTTTGTCATCCTCGGTGAAGAAAGTTATTGCCTTTCCCTTGTTGCCTGCTCTTCCAGTTCGCCCTATAGAGAAAATAAAACACCAAGCTTAGTATAATAAAAGTAGACAACGTGAATTGTCTTCTCAGATAATAAGCTACAATGGACTAACCGATCCGGTGGATGTATTCCACAGCAGTGGTAGGGAAGTCATAGTTGATAACAAGGTTGATGCCCTTGAAGTCAATACCACGGGCCAGGAGAGCAGTGCAGATCAGCACCCAGATCTTCCCCGAACGGAAACTGCTCACAACATTGTCCCTCTAATGAGAGAGACAAAGAAAGACCAGTTAAACACTGAAAAAAATGAAAAATAACATACTACAATATAATATTCCACTCATATACATACTGAACATATATTTATTTATACATACACACACATAATTACAAATTCTATTTATTCAACCCAAAAAAAGATTAAAGACTGTAATAATTTACAATTGTAAGCTTTTCTGAAGATCCAGTTTTCTATAACAGTGTAGTGGCACATTAAAAGTGATAATGTCAATATATAATGTAATATTTTTAGGTTATAAGATTTTTTTTTTTGCAATACAGCTACATCATAATAATTCAACATTGCTGTTTTAAATTCACTTATTTATAGGGTATAAGGAGAACACTAAACAAGCATGGCCTTCATGTCGGGACACCATTCTTGACCGAGGAGGACAAAAGTCCAACTTGAATATGCTAAAATGAATTTGGATAGACCTGTGAAGTTCTGGATCAATGCTTTATGGAGTGATGTGACCAAACTGAAACCTTTTGGACCCATAAATCAGTGGTATGTCTTGTGCAAAAAAGAACAGATATCCATGGTCAAACACGGTGCTGGACCAGTCTTGTTATGGGGATGCTTTGCTGTTGCAGGAAGTGGAAATCTTGACTGTATGAAAGATATCATGGATTCTTTGAAGTATCAGTCCATTTTGTCAAAGATTGTGATGCTTTCGGAAAAACAGACTGAAGATCATGATTATTGGACTTTCCAACAGGACAATCATCCAAAAGCACTCATCCACCAGCCACTCCACACTACAGACAGTAAAGACATATTTACACTGGAGACCGATTTCCTGTGTATGATGGTGAACATAACATAATCTTGAAGCTCTTTGATGATAAATCTACACACATAATTAATACTTCATTTCATTTTTTTGAAGAGAAATTTTCAGATTTGAGATTTTCTTAAACTGAACTACTCTCGCACATCACTCGCCTACTTAAGTTGATAGCAGGAGGGTCTTGATTTAGTAAATATATCAATCTGTTAGGAGTCGTCACCAATATATCTGGAAAACAAAAGTGTTAAGACAGTGAATCACTCCAAACCAGTGGTTCTCAACTTTTTTCCTTTTTTTTTAAATTCCACAATTCTTGAAAACACACATTAGCGACAAAATAAAACTAAACATTTAAGGATCTCAAAGCAACATCCTAACTCATTGTTATTTTCAGTTCACCTTTGCATTAACTGCATTTTTGCTATCAAAAATACAGTAAAAACAGTAATACTGTGAGAACTTTAAAATTTAAAACAACTGCTTTCTATTTTAATATATTTTAAAACGCCATTATATTTTAAAATGTATTCCTGTGATGGAGTAACTGATTATACACTGTTTTCAGGATTCTTTGATGAACGTAGTTTTTTTTTTTTGTAACATTATAAATCTATTTACTGTCATTTTTGACCAATTTAATGCATCCTTAATGAATAAAACTAATACCTTATTTAAAAAATAATCTTTAAACGTGTGTTTGTGTGGATATTATATAATATATCCACACACAACGTGTAAATATACATAACATGTACAACAAATTTCTTTGCAGCATTGGGCCCATGTGTGTGTGTGTGTGTGTGTGTACTATACATACATACACACATATATATATATATATATATATATATATATATATATATAATACCCACACACACACATATATAATATGTATATATACATAACATACATACCAAATTTCTTTGCTGTCTTGGGACCATATTTTTTAACGGCTTCAACTCCTTTATTGATCATGTGAACTCTGAAGCCCACTCCTTCCGACAGCTTGAGCAACTCTCTGTGAGTCTTGAGACAAAACGCTAGTCTTAATTGCATTCTGTATGTCAGTCAATATGTTTAAACTGCCAGCAATATATAGATTTTTTTTTTTAGTAGTCTACAGCAATAATTAGCCTGAGGTGGGCTGAAGGTTTACCTGAGTGGCGAGCTCTCTGGTAGGGGAGATGATGAGGGCTCTGAAACCCTTGTTGAGGGGCTGGCGAAGGTGGGCCAGCAGGGGCAGACAGAAGGCCATAGTTTTACCGGAGCCTGTCGGAGCAGATGCCAGGATCTCCCTTTTCTAAAACAAGCAGATCCGTGGAATTAAAACACTTAAGAGAGGATCAGGAAAGCAAACGCATTTATATCTGATGCAACAGAAACATGTCATACATGCATCATGAGAGGAACGGCTTGCATCTGTATGGGTGTGGGGGTTTGGAAACCCGCCGCCTTGATGTTTTGAATGATTCGTGGGTCCAGATCATACTCCTGCTGCAGCTCCTCAAAAGTGGAAACAGGATCTGGAATGTCTGTCCCATGCACGTTAATCCGGTTTTGGTGCCGTATCCGATTCACCTAAAACACATGATCAATATTATAAGGAAACCCATCTGTTTGTTTTCCCTACACTCTTAAAAATAAAGGTGCATAAAAGGTTCTTCAAAGTGATGCCATAGAAGAACCATTTTTGGTTCCACAAAGAACCATTAGGGCCTTTCGCACCGCAGGAACCTTTTCATAGTACCAGAACTAATTGTGGAACTACCCACTTTTTGGCGTTTTTGCACCGCCGGAAATGGGAGCGATTTTAGTACCGGACTGCCTTTTTCGAGAACCTAATTAGTTAGGGTCTAACCAGCACAACTGGTACTAATCGTGACGCAAGTAGACATTGATTGGCAAAACGCGTATGAACACACCTTCACCCGCCATGATTTAAAACGCCGTGTAAACATACTGTAAACATTGTGTCAACTTATTTCGCAAGATGGAGAACAGCGATAGATGGACGGACGCTGAAGTGCAGGCACTTGTAGCAAATGTAGCACTGCCAGGTGTTGTTGGAGATTCTTAGTCCTCCTTTCCGTTCTTTCAATCGCTTTACGTATACGTCGACTTTCCATGTCCATTATTGTGAAACCCACGAGACACAACAAAAACACAGCTCCGATCACAGCGTCCTCCATCCTCCTGTTGTTAATGTTGTTCTTCTTTGTTTCTGTTGTTGAACGCCGCGCACAAATGATGTCGCTGTCGACCGGTTCCTAGTACACACTGTCGGTGCGAATGCAACCCTTTAAATGGCATGGTACCGCACGGTACAGTTTGGTACGGTTCACTTTTGGGGGGTTTTCCACTGGGTACAGTACCTGGTACCTTTATTAGTACCACATCAGTTGGGGTTCCAAGTGAACCGTACCGTTACCAAAACGTGACGTGTAAACTCTGCTGATCACGGATTGGCCGGAGAGAATCGTCACTACCTGCGTCACTGAACTTGTGACACAAAATTTAAATCAGTACAGCCAGCGAAGGATCGAACGCAACTGTTTTGAACGAGCGCACCTTTTTTAACAACCAAAAAGTGGCTGTTTCTTTGTCTGTTGAGGAAGTACAGACGAGCCTCTCATTGATAGCAGAGGAGCGGATCCAGCGAGAGCTTGATGGGGCGATGCGGAATGAAAACGTTTTTCAGGAGTCGCGGCAGTAGAGGCGGCGCAACTATAACCACATGTGAATAAATCCCACCCACTCTAAAGCGGTACTGAACTGCAGTGGAAACGCAAACCGAGCCGAGCCGAACCGTACCACGCAGTGGAAAAGCGCCAAAAAAGGTTCTTCTATGGCGTCGTGAAGTACCTTTATTTTTAAGAGTGTAAACTGAAATTAGATCCATATCGCCACATAAATGCCAGTGAAAATTGTCGTAATGCAATATATCCAAATACCATATCGGTTATTGACTAATTTATCAGTATCTATATATGGGACAAATGTTTACATTTCCTCTAGTTTACCTTTTTGTTAATCTAAGACTCAATTTAAGCTAATTTATTAAAAAAAAAAAACTTATAATTCAATAACCCTGTTAATTGTAAACTAATAGCAAATCTCAAAATGAATATCCATTTTTCATACTGTACATTAATGTACTAAATTCAATGACAGCATTTACTACAACAGTTTTTAGCTTTATTTTAATGTTTTATTTTTCAAAACAATACAGAATTGTAATGACGGCCATAACATGATTATTAGACTCGGCCAGAATTTTTATCATCCCTAGATCTTTTTATGCGATTAATATTACAAGAATTTTCAACTGTGATTAACCAATCAAAATGAAAAGTGGAGTAAAAAGCAATAACAACTCTTGGTACCTTCTCCTGATGAAGCTGCTTGAGTCTTTTCAAGGAGGGCTTGTTTTTAGACTCCTTCTTGGGGTCTTTCACCTTGTCTTGCGATGATGACATCCATTGGATCCCCTCTCCCTCGCTCTTCTCAGGCTCTGCATCTGTTTCACAACAGTAAGAAAGCGAAAGAACTGTTCGAAAACCCGAAACACTGAATTGCTAGCAATCAGAAGAGACTGAGAGAATATGACTTACCTTCGGATTTTTTCTTCGCTCCTTTCTTTTTCTTCCGTGCTGTCTTCACTGGCTCATCCATTTTAATCCGTTTACCAGAGGCCTGCTCTTCATCACTCCCTTCTTTCTCTTCGTCACCATCATCTTCACTCAGTCTGGACTCCAGAGATGTGTTCTCTTGTGTCTCTTTGCCAAAAAAGCTGACTCCAGCCAGCTGATTTGAGCTGTCGTTGCTCTGAGACTTCACTACCTGAGAGGAGTTACACAAGAATTAATAATGACCAAATAAGCATGTGTTGATTTGTAACATATGTGCAGTAGTCACCAGAATTGCTGTTTCTATAATGCTGTGCAACACAGTAACCAAAGACGTTTAAAACTTGGTAAATATCGATTATGCTACTTGTTAATGCACATTTTTAGCGATATTTGGGTTTACTCGGATTAGCATTAGCATTCCTGGGACATTCAATGGGAAATGGAAACACATGTTAGCCATGTGGCAGCAGCTTAGGTCAGTAATTCACGTATTCCTTTCGTTTTACGTAACAACAGCCTAACATACGTTAACTTTCTTATGTACTTTGTATCGAAACCTACCTTAAACCGCTCTGCATCTTTAGCGAACCTTTTCAGATCAAACTTTGCTCCAGACCCAAGCTTTCTAAACAAGTCAAAGGCGTCCATTGAAACAAAATAAAACGTAAAGACGTGACTAATCGATCTCGCTTTTATGACCAGCACGCTCTCGGCGTTCGATTATTACACCTTTATTATCAGTCGTTCACTAGAGAGCGCCGTTTTTTGTTTTTGTTTTATTTGTAAAACGGGAGTTCTTATTATAATGTTTAAAATATAAAATTAACAATATTTATAACAGTCGACATTTTTAATGCATGCACAATTATTTTTTTAAAGAACATCTTGGACTTAATATTTTTAACATCTTGTAACAAAATCATTTTATTTTATTCTTCCTGAATATTGGATCTTAAATATTAATTTTATATGGCTGAGTCACATTTTATGTCTAAATTCTACTACATTTAGGATAAACATAAATTGCCAGGCAACAAAACAAATACACAAAAGATGTGTTGCAATACGAAGATTTTATTTTATTAATTTTTTTGTATCATCATCATCAGGATCTTTAAATCATTTATTGATATAAGTGAGTGAAGCACTATGAGCAAGAGAGAGTTTAAACAACATTCCAGAGCAATAAATCATTAACTAAAATAAAACTCTTCCTATGACAGAAGGAAATATAGCAGTAGAAATAACTACTTCTCATGTGTTTGAGATAAGTTATCTTACAGTGTCTGTGTGACTCAAGTTCGTCACATCCAAAGGAGAACTAAAACCTATAATAAAGAATGACGGCAGAAGCATTGCATGATAATACTGGATATGAAGCAATCCAATAAGAAAACCCAGAATCACGCATAGCTGTACATGATTGTAACGAGGGAGGCGTTACGAAAAGTGGGGATCCAAAAGCAAGGCTTTAATAAGAGCGTAGTCAAACAGGCGTGGTCAACAACAGCAAACAACGATGGCAGTGGCAAGGCAAAAGAGTAATCCAGATAATCAGGCAATGGTCAGGGCAGGCAGCAAAACAATCATAAACAAGAAAACAGTCCAGGGATCAAAACACGACGGCAAGGAAACAGAGAAACTAGAAACACGGAAACTTAGAAACCACAGAAGAGCTATACAACATTCAATCACCAGCGATGACAGAGCGTGTGTGTGCTATTCTTATAGTCCTACTAATGTGAGACAGCTGTGAACGGATGATGAGCTCTGATGAGAGACAGGTGATGCACTTGATGAGTCCGGGCAAAGGATTATGGGAAATGGAGTCCTGAGTGAATGGCAAGGTACAGAATGGAGTGCCCTCTAGAGGAGCTCACGGGCAATGATGAAATTATAATAAATGCTTTATAAATGATAATATATTGTAATAGATCTGAGCTGAATCAGGTTAGGTCCATATATGCCACATGTGTTACATTACACTTCGGCTTTGTTTCTCCCTCAGATTACTTCACTTCCTGTTATACAACATAAAACAAGACCAGCCTGTTGTTTTCAAGGGTTTTAGCAGACAAGAACTAAATGAAGGAGGTGAGTAAGATGTTTCATTTCTGTATATCAGCAACTACGGTATAGGCATATTGTAAGTATTCTATTTTATTTTGGTCTATTCTTATAGGAATGGATGAAAGCATTGATTGGCTACATATTATTAGACACTGGCATGTTTTTGATATAGTTTTCCTGATACAGAGGATTTCCTGAAGTGAAAATGACTTGAGAACTATTAGATGTGGTGGCATTAAGAAGCTGTTACTGTTTTAAATTTTTATTTCATTTATTTGTTTATTTATTTTTCTGAACAAATATCTTGCAAAGTGCTTTTTTGCCACTGTCTGCCGTAAAAATGTCGTAAACAGAAATTATTCATGTTGATGGAATGAAGTATGGCAGGTTGTGTTGCAAAGTTTCTCTATTATCTTTGTGAGTCTTGTCATTTTACAGTAGCCTAATCATAACATCGACTTTTTGATATATCATTTAATATATTGGAGTTTACTCACCAATTCACTTCATTGTAATTTCTTATAATGGTAACACTTTACAATAAGGTTCATTAGTTAACTACTTTAGTTAACATGAACTAAGAATGAACAATACTTCTACTGTACAGCATTTATTAACCTTAGTTTATGTTAATTCCAACATTTACTAATGCATTATTAAAATGTTGTGCTTGTTAACATAATGCACTGTGAATTAACATGAACTAACATGAACAAAGATGAATAAATACTGTAATAAATGTATTGTTCATGTTAGTTAATACATTAACTAGCATTAACTAATGAAACCTTATTGTAAAGTGTTACCCTTATAATTATCTATGCAATAATTAACTTATTTTTATTAATTGTTACAAATTTATTCAAATGTATTTGCCTTTTTATTTAGAATTTTTGAATAATTTATTTAATTATTTTTTATTTGTAGGAAATGCAAAGTCAAACTCCTGGAAGGCTGGGCAAAGGGCACAAAATAAATTAATTTCAAGGGGGGAAAAAAACTTTGTTAGGTGAATACAGTGGATTCCCAGTTTGATGTAAAAGGAATCAAGAAAAAACATGGGAACACTAAAACAAATCACATTATATGTTGCCCTCTGTGGCTTCATTTCCCCATCTAGTGCATTTTCCTTGAAGAACTGCACAATCAGTACTCCCCTAAAAGACATCCAGCTGAAAGTACTTTGCTACAAAATGGGCTTTTTCAGGATTCCGTGGATACCTAGAAATACACGGATTTTAGATATTTCCTTCAATGCCTTTGCGCAGATCCATATTGGAGACTTTAATCATTTGTCAAACTTACAGGACTTGAACATATCCAACAATAAGATCTCGCATATTCAAGAGGGTGCACTTGACAATCTTTCCAACTTATCCCGTCTCAATCTGGCCAGCAACACACTACAAGGAATCTCGAGAGGTATGCTGCATGGTCTAACCAACCTGCTGGTGCTACGTCTGGATAACAATTATATTAAAGACATCGGAGAGTCAGCTTTCAGCACGCTTCAGAATTTAAAGGTGTTAAACCTAACAAAAAACCACCTCCATTATATAGAGAAAATCAAGCCGGTTCTTGCATCACCATATTTAGAGGAACTCTACATTGGAAGCAACCATTTTGATGCTTTCAAGTCATCTGAAATGTCAACAAATCCCTTGTTATTAAAAAGACTTGATTTTTCCAATAACCCTTTTGCAACATTTGAGCTTACTGACAATATATTTCCATTTCTCACTCACCTTGATTTATCTTATTGCGGTCAAAATGGAACCATGACATGGAACGTCACAGAAAAGACATTCTTCACCTCAGTGAAAACACTATACTTCATGGATGTTCATATGTCAGCCCAGAGTGCTGCTAATGTGCTTCAGAGCTTCAATAATTTGTTGAATAAAATCAGGCTTAATGGAAATGTTGAGTTGAACAAGACTAACCTCCTGCTGAACGCATGTTCTCCGATGCTAAAAGTTGTACGGCTAAATGCTAACAAAATAAAACACCTCACCGAGCACATGTTTGATCCCTGTTCTGACCTGACGGAAGTAGATTTAGGAGATAATGAAATATCCCAGTTATCAGCAAGTATATTCAGAGGATTTACACAACTAAAATCGCTGCGTTTGCAAATCAATAAACTGACTCAAATAACAAACTCCTTTCAAATGCTCTTCACTCTCGAGTTCATAGATCTCAGTAGAAACAGCATCAACACCCTCGCCTGTGATGATTTTGCCAATTTAACACAAGTGAAAACTCTGTACTTGTACAGTAACAAAATCTCAATCATTAATTCCTGTTTGTTCAAGGACCTGAAGAGTCTTGAAGTCCTCAAGCTTGGAACAAACAATCTGTTAAGGATCGGCGATGCTTTCAGCAATGGGCCACATTCCCTGATGGATCTGCAACTTACTTTTAATAAGCTAAGCAAAATCGAAAAGTACACTTTTAGAAATATGTCACAGCTGAACAATTTGTCCTTACAAGACAATCAGATTTCAGAGATCGAAAGCCATGCATTCGAAGGACTGAAGAGCCTGACCTCTCTATTGCTGTCATCAAACAAAATATCAGCTAAAACATTAACCAATCACCAGGATGTGTTCTCAGGCATGCCCAACCTCAAAAATCTAGATTTGTACGCCAACAGCATTTCATTTAGGGATGATCAATTGAAATACCCTCCTTTTAAAGACCTGAAGCGCCTTAGAGTATTGACCTTACACAATCAACGTCGTGGAATTGACAAAATACCCTCAAATCTGCTTCAAGGTTTATCCTCCTTGGAAATGTTTTACGCTGGAAACACGAATCTTGCTCATCTGAATCCTGATACATTCAAGTTCAGCCCCCAGCTCTGGTTTTTGGATCTCTCCAAGAGCGCGCTGTCTGAAGACCACTCCATCCCGACCGAGTTATTCCACCCCATTTCGAGGCTAACCAAACTCATCCTTTTGAGAACGCAGCTTCGCTCACTGAACTTCCTGTTGAACGCAAATCTCTCCAGACTTTCAACCTTAAAAGCTCAGGGCAATGAGATTGACACGATCAACAAAACTCTGATTCAGTCACTGCCTCGACTAGAGGTCCTCGACTTGGAGAAAAACACGCTCACTTGTGACTGTGACAATGCATTCTTCATTGACTGGGCCAAGAATAGTAATTCTACTCAGGTGCTTTATTTGAACAAGTACATGTGTAGCTATCCTAGTTCCTTACGAGGCATGAGTTTGTCCGCTTTCAACACCGAATCCTGCACCTTGAATATAGACTTCATCTGCTTTCTTTGCAGCAGTATTGCGGTCATTCTCACCCTCCTCTTGTCATTTGTCTGGCATTTTCTGCGCTTTCAGGTGGTTTATGCATACTACCTCTTCTTAGCCTTCCTTTACGACAACAGGAAGAAGCAAAGCGGTTCGACGTTCCAGTATGACGCCTTCATTTCCTACAACACCAAAGATGAGCCTTGGGTAATGGAGGAACTTATTCCAAAATTAGAAGGAGAACAGGGCTGGAGATTGTGCCTTCACCACCGAGACTTTGAACCAGGAAGGCCAATAATAGACAATATCGTTGATGGCATATACAGTAGCCGCAAGACCATCTGC